CTGTGCACTGTGCAGTGTGCCCGCCTGGGCCGGCGCCATGGGCACTGGTGCGTGGCTGCATGGAGCCGGGCGTGCGCTTAGGAGGGGGTGCTGCTCAGCTTCTGGCCGTGGTCCTGCGCTCTGACTGCCGGTGGAGTGAACGCCTGTTTGCTTCTTTCTCTTCGTGGGGAATATTGTGCTTTACTGTCGTTTCCTGGAAGTTAACCGGGCCCCGAGAGCTTTAAAGTTAGGAAGGGCTTTAACTCTTCAGTGAAATCAACCGGCTGCTCATATGCAGGGCTCAGCTCCTCATAACGGACGTGCTCCCCCCCGCCCCCCCCATGGTAGCTGTGAAGCGCGAGAGCAAGTTGGTTATTTATCCTGTAACGTCAGTAACAGTAACAAAGTGGCTGCAGCCGGACGGGGGCTCGGCTGGTTGAGCATCGTCTCAGGCACCAGAAAAGCTGTGGGTTCGGTTCCTGGTCGGCACATGCCCGGCTGTGGGTCTGATCGCAGTCAGGCGCGTGCGGGAGGCAGCTGGTCCATGTGTCTCTCTCCCATTGATGGTTCCCCCCACCTCTCCTTTCTCTATAAAATCAATTTTAAAAAAGATCACAATAAGGAAACGCCTGAAGAGAAGCTGGATCACCTTTCTCATGTTACTCTTCCGCTTTCTCACGGTGCTGAGCGGTAGAACTCCCATCCCCATCCCCGGGCACACAGGCAGGGCCAGGGCAGCGCGCCCACCATCCTCGCCACAGTGCCGCTCTGCCAGCCCGGGTGGCACCCGCCGAGCGCCCCAAAGGGCATGCACGGCCGGGAAGCTTCTCCCTGTCCTTACCTGGGAGCAGGGAAGGTTTTGGAGAACGTTGAGGTCGCTGCATGGATTGGGGTTCAGTTGTCATTGCCTCTGGAGGCCTCCATGTGCCTTCTGTGTGTTTTCTTTACTCACTGGCATCTTAGTAAACGTATCGCACCTGGACTGGTCGGTACCACTCGAGATGCAACAAACCAGAAGTTCTCAGTTTCTATCCACCACAAAACTGGGGCAAAGGGCCCCATGCTCTGTCGTCTCCCCTCACCCCTGCAGACCCAGCCCCTGCTGCTGCTCTGCTCTCCCCTCACCCCTGCAGACACGGGGCCCTGCTCTGCTCTCCCCTCACCCCTGCAGACACGGGGCCCTGCTCTGCTCTCCCCTCACCCCTGCAGACACGGGGCCCTGCTCTGCTCTCCCCTCACCCCTGCAGACACGGGGCCCTGCTCTGCTCTCCCCTCACCCCTGCAGACACGGGGCCCTGCTCTGCTCTCCCCTCACCCCTGCAGACACGGGGCCCTGCTCTGCTCTCCCCTCACCCTGCAGACACGGGGCCCTGCTTTGAGAGTCCGTCACCATCCTCTGTGCCTTCTTGTTTCCGCCTGGGGAGGCCGTGGGGAGGCCTCTGCGGTGAGAGAGCAGCCAGTGTTTAGAATTCACTGGGCGACCTCCCCTGACCCTTGAAAGGGCGACAGTGTCATTAAAAAGTCCCACGGGAACTGGGAGAGAAGGGAGGACATCCCCCAGATGCTAAGTGTGTAGACTGTGCGGAGAGACACCGCTCAGTGCACTCTGGTTCCTCCGGGGCCCTGCTGGGCTCCAGTCCTTCGGAGCAGTTCCATCTTAACAGTCATTTATATTCCTCCCGCCCTGGCCGCCCCTTCGCCTGCCCTCTGCTTTCAGTCCAGATGCACCCAGGTCCGGGGGGACTCATGCTTTCAAAGCCACTTTCATCAAGGCAGGAGCAGCCACCCCCCCTGCCCCCGGCTACACGAGCCCTGCAGCCTGCCCTCACCCTCGCCTGGACGTTTCTGGTCGCGGGCAGCTAGCAGATGGCTCACCAGCTCCACCTCTGCCAGGTCACGCTGGGCGCCTTCGGGCACGAGGAGGAGGTGATCTCCAACCCGCTGTCCCCGCGGGTGATCAAGGACATCATCTACACGTGCAACACCCACGACGAGCGGGCGGCGGTCATCCAGCAGGAGCTGGTCATCCACGTGGGCTGGGCCATCGCCAACAGCCCCGAGCTGTTCAGCGGCATGCTCAAGATCCGCGTGGGGTGAGTCGCGCCGCACCCGCGGCCTCCATCGCCGCCCTCCTCTCCAAGGTCAGCCCCCAGGGCAGGTCCTTGGCGAGGCTGCCGTCAGGCCCCAGCCAGCAGCGAACCCGCTCGCCGGACGGTGGCCGGTCGGGTAAGGGTTTGACTTGAGGTCGGGTATTGATTTGCGCTCGGCTCTCACATTGAGGTCGATCAAGCGCTGACAGGCCTGTTACTGTAAGGCCTGCGAGGCGGGCTCTCTGTGCCGGGCCTGTCGGCCAGCGCCGGGGAGAGCCCGAGGATGTGCTGTCAGCCTGTGCTACCCCGCTCACCTGCCTGAACACCCTCCACACAGTGACGGTCCGGGCACGGCCCCTCCCGATGCCCCGCTACCTCTGTGACCACACAGCCCAGGGAGGAGGGGAGGACACGGCTCTGAGGTCATTAGCGTGGCTGATGCCCTCACAGGCCTTGACATTCGATGCGAGAGAAGGTGGGAGACCACCCTCCCTGTGCCCGTCTGGATCCGGCACCGGTCCCCTCGCAGCCCGCCGCCCCCTAAGGGATGGCTTGGTGTGGGGCGTGCAGACGCCCATTTGCTTAATAGCAACCAGGGCAAATTCTTCTTGGCATCTCAAAATAGCTTCAGGATGGTTATTAAAAATGGTTTCTTATTACAAATCAGTACATTCTTTTAAAAAATATTTTTATCGATTTCAGAGAGAAAGGAAGGGAGAGAGAGACATAGAAACATCAATGATGAGAGAGAATCATGGATCGGCTGCCTCCTGCACGCCCCACACTGAGGGGTGAACACCCAACCCGGGCCTGTGCCCTGACCGGGAATAGAACCGTGACCTCCTGGTTCCTAGGTTGACGCTCAACCACTGAGCCACGCCTCCGGGAGAATCTGTTCGGAAAGTGCCACCGCCCTGGTTCAGAGTGGCGTCCGGTTCCATGCACTCACATTCTCCTGCTCGACGGGGCCAGTGGGAAAGGAACTTGCCGAGGCACACAGGGTGCTCCCAGCCTCCCACGAGAGGGTTTGGGAGGAAAAGCTCATCCCAGGCCCATCCAGGAGGGGGTCCCCTCCCCCCCCTCCACGTGCCCGGGCGTCCTTGTCCCCCAGTCAAACCCGAGCCTGAGGAAGGCGGAGCTCGCAGGGTCTTCGGACAGGAAGGGCCGTGCGCCGGGTCCATGTCCCCGGCCGGCTGGGGAGGGTGGCCGTCTTCTGACCGCCCCTCCCCCCCGAGAGAACTAGCGCTGCCCTGGGGGCCGCACCCCGTGGCTCTGAAACCGACCGTGGCAGAAAGAAGGCCTTGAACTTTGGGATAACTAGCGCCGCCGGGAGGCCGCACCCCTCTGAAACCGGCCGTGGCAGAAAGAAGGCCTTGAACCTTGGGGTGTAAGAAAGTCCCTTTTGTATAGTGAGTAGCTATAAATAGCCTACTGTGTGTTCCCATATGTCTATGGTGCCTTATCAAGGTGCTCAGTAAATAGCTCTGAAATGAATCAACAAGTTAATGGATGGATGATTGAATGAATGAATACTAATCTTGTGCCATACTCAGCAATACAGACTTTTGTGGACAAATGATTTGGGAATGATCCCTACCGTACCTTCTCAGCCCATTGACAGATTGAAGAAGCAAAGCATGCCTGGCCAGCATGGCTCAGTGGTTGAGCGTCAACCCATGAACCAGGAGGTCAGGGTTTGATTCCCGGTCAGGGCACGGGCCCGGGTTGCAGGCTCCATCCCTGGTGTGGGGCGTGCAGGAGGCAGCCGGTCCATGACTCATCACTGATGTTTCTATCCCTCTCTGAAATCCATAAAAACACAATAAATAAATAAAAAAGGACAGTGTGACAGCTGTTCGTGTGGTGTCCTGTTGTGCCCGGTGGATGGGATCTCATTTGGCAAGATCCCGAGTTCTAACCAGTTTTCACATTTACTGCCTGACCGCGTCTGCAAGCACAGGCCGCGCGTTCCACGGTCGGACCCCGTCACGTAACCCGGACGGTCGGACCCCGTCACGTAACCCTGACGGTCGGACCCCGTCACGTAACCCTGACGGTCGGACCCCGTCACGTAACCCTGACGGTCGGACCCCGTCACGTAACCCGGACGGTCGGACCCCGTCATGTAACCCGGACGGGCGTCAGTCTCTGGGCTCAGGAAGTTGAGAGGCCTCGTCCCCGCGCCGGGTGGGCGGTGCTGAGAAGGGCGCTGAGCCAGAGCCCGGGCGACTGATCCCGGTTATGGATCCGCTCTCCCCTGTGTTGTCGCAGGTGGATCATCCACGCCATGGAGTATGAGCTGCAGATCCGGGCCGGGGACCAGCCCGCCGTGGACCTGTACCAGCTGTCGCCCAGCGCCGTCAAACAGCTCCTCATGGACATTCTCCAGCCGCAGCAGAATGGACGGTAACGAGGCCCTTCGCCCCCCGCAGGCCCCCTGGTCCAGTCACTCATGTTTGATGCGCGTGTGAATGAAGATGCCGATAAGATGTAAACAGCGCAGTCGCAGGGACAGTGCAGAGATGCGAATCAAACTGTCTGTCTTCAGCCGCCATTCGGTGCTGATTTGAATTGATACACTTTTCAGGTGTAGTTCATGAACGCTCCTTCATTTTCATTATTCTGTGCAGAACATAGCGCCTCCTTCCCCCCTCGTCATCCCTTTCTGAGCCTTTGCAGCTCAGAAACGCTGCACCTCCTCCAACGCTGGCACGAAGGCCTGGCTGGGTAGCGTGAAGCAGGTGGCCCGTTCTCTGCCTCCCTAAGTAGACGGCACACCTCTCCAGGCTGAACCGTCCATAGACTGGACTTGTGCGGAGGTTAGAATAAGGGCAAAGTGAACACTCGTGATTGCACTGAACTGAAGAACATTTTTATAACAAAAGGCTTTCCTATGATTATTAAAGCTGCTCCCATGTTTTTAAGTGAAACTGCTTTGGCTGTTAGAGTCATGTGATCACGGGGTGAGAGTTTTAACTGTGGAACTTGCTAGTGAACACAGTTCTACCTGTTACATTTCTCAAAGGCTGGGGATTTTCTCCTTTCCTGCGAGCTTTCCCTCTGAAATATTCAGTCACCTCGAACAGGGGCTGGAGTCTGCATCGCTCCCCTCGGAGGGCTGGTCCGTGCTGGACCGGGCTTCCTGCCAGGGCGCGCTGGCGTCTCCGCTCTGAGGCCTCTCTGGTTGCAGGTCTTGGCTGAACAGGCGTCAGATCAACGGGTCTCTGAACAGAACGCCCGCCGGGTTCTACGACCGCGTGTGGCAGATCCTGGAGCGCACGCCCGACGGCATCGTTGTCGCGGGGAAGCACCTGCCGCAGGTACCGCCGCGTGGCCTTGGTGAGGGGCTGTGAAGGGGCCTGGCCGGGCCCGTGTGCCGTCGGCATGGCAGCGCCTTTCCATGTGTCCCAGGTCCTGGGGAGAACGCTGGGAAGGACAGCCTTCCAGCAGACAGCCACTCGTAGAGCCAGGCTCTGTAGAGGGCACCGAGCCGAAAAGGGAAAGGAACTCAGGTGGAAAAATGCGTCCAGTGCGACGAGGAGACTTTTCTCGTATTTCCTCCCTCGCATGCGACGCCCTGCCCCCTTGAAGCACGCCTAGAAACGGGGCAGTAGCGGCAGGTGGGGCTGCCTGCCCACAGGCGCACGGAATGCAGGGCGAGCCTTGCACAGGCGGACAGTGTGCTGTCCTTCCCCTGAAAGGGGGCGCTCCCGCGGGCCCCCTGGGGAGCGAGTGATGCGCATAGTGGTGAGGCTGAGGGGCGTTCACAGGAAGTAAGTAGGAAAGTGTGACTCGCTCTCTCTGCCACCCAGGATGCCGGGGACTCCACCTGCCCCCACTCGCGGAGCCACACTCAGTGCCCTTCCGCCCAGGCCCAGCCCACTGCGTGCTCTCAGTTGCTTGCGATAAGTGCCCGGCACAAGGCAATCCTCTCCATAAATGACGCGTGAAGGGCAGAGACAACCCCTTCGTTTTGCTTGTTTGTGTGGCTTGCCTTCCCCGCACACAGCGCTGTCCTTGCTGATTTGGTGCGTTTTTGCGCCGCCGGGTCAGGCAGGACTCGCCGCAGAGAGAGGTAAACTCCACGGCGAGGACTGACGTGGCGTCTGCCGGTGCCGGCCGCGCATTCCATG